AAGTTTGATTATGTTCCAATGCTTATTGCCGTCTGTATCAGGTCTCAAGGTCTATATATTTCATGTATCTGTTTACCTTTGAGCATATGAACGCACAAAGGGTTATTGCACCTGCAAAAGCCCTTCTATTTTAAAGTCACACAAAGCTCAAGGTCCTTCTCCTCTATAACAATATCAGACGCAGCAATAAGGCACACACATTTTTAGCACCCAAACAAAACGTTTCTTTTTTTAGATTTATTTGATTTCTACACCGAGCGGGTCTCATACCTTGGGGCTGCATTTAGTTGCATTCAAGGGAACAAAAGAGCCACCCACAACGCGGCGTTCCTTTGTCTTTTTAGAAATGTTTTGCTCTGAGAAGAAGCGGAAAAATAGGACGGTGACAAAGAATGAATACCATTGACGCAAAGCAAAAAGGTGAACAAGGAATTAAAGCGTGAAGAAAAATCCTCTTTTCTCTTTGTGACCCAACGCCTGTGGCAAAAGGTGTAAATTCCTGACTGCCGATGCTGTTTCTAAAAATAGAAGAGACGACTCTCGGGGTCAGTCACTTTTGCATCTTTTGTATGTAATTTTGTTGGTCTAAAAAAAGAAGTATCTTACAGTTAAGAACCAAACACTTCTGTTATTTGTAAAAAATAAAAAATAAATCATTTAACATCATTATCTGTTTTTTATCAAATAAATAAATTAGGACTGATTTTTTTTACTTAACTTTTTAGTAGTGAAAAGTATCTTTCAATTTTTAGTCATAATTAGTTTTGATTTGTGATGGAATGAATAACCTGATTTTTTGTACTTATGAAATTATATTTTTAATTTGCTATGAACTTTAAGCCCATATTGTACAATCCAAATCTGATCCGAATAGTTCTGAATTTTCACAAAATAATTTTATTTGCATAAGAAATTATTTGCAGAGATGGAAAGAGTTGAAAATAACTTACTTGTTTGTTCATCTTTTTTACTCGATGAAACAATCAAATTTCCAAATAGGAAAACATTTTGTGCTTAATTTGATATCATGCAGTTTTTGGCCCATTTTTCCGTTAAAGATCTCTAGTAAATTATATTCTCGTGCGTCAGAGAGTAAAAATGGTGGGAACAAAAATGAGTGATTACCAAATTTGTGAATGAATGAAAATTTTCCCACCGCCGGCAGTGCTGGTAAAAGTAATTACCACCCGAGGATGCATAGGGGGTCCAGCAATAGCTAGTCTGTCGCGGCGTGACGCTGCGCGGACGAGTTTGATGATTCGGTGCTGCGCGGATATTTGAAGTGGTGATGGTTCCATTGTTGCACTCTCTGCGAGGAATCATAATCAGTCTTGCTTGTGCCTCTGACAAAAACCATTTGTCTTTGGCAGTGCCATCAATAATAGTGACACGAAGCACACAGCACACCTGTCAGACGTGCTGGATGATGAGAAAGATGATGTCGACCGGGGGTGCTACGCCTGCTGCATGGCGCGCTAGCTCGCTCTCGCCCGTCGAGTAATCGAAAATTCCTCTCTCACACGAAGCGTCGAACAAGCAAAACGCCGAAAACGCGGCGTCCAAACCAAACCTTGTCCTCCGCATTTGCATAATTGGCATGTGGAGATTTTCAAACGGGATTCTGAAAAAAAAAGAAAATACGATTTTCGGCTATTGAATTTATATTGCATAGTATAAGAAAATTTCATTTGATTTAATTCCTTTGTAATAATAGCAAAAAATGGTAGTTTCACAGAAAAAGATGTTTCAATTTCCGTCAGAAACAGAAATTTTTTATCATCGTCATCAATTAGATTGGATAATAAAATTATTTTAGTCGAATAACGCGGTTTTTAATTGAAAATAGGTCAAATATTATTTAATTGTGTGCAGCTAAAATTTAAAGATGATATTTTTACTCTACTTTCATCATTGATTTTTAGTTATTCATTAGCTGAGCAATAAGCTTCTAGAAATTGCTATAAATTGTGTCAATAATCTAGTTATTTATTTTCATGAACTCGAAGTCCAAAATTTTTAAATTATCAGTCATCTGAGACTTGGAGGATAATCAATAAAGAAAAAAAAATTGAAAAAAAAAATGTTGATTCAGGAAAAAAAGTGAATTTTCAACATCCAGTTTTGTTAACAATAATGCCCGGTGATGCATTAATATAAAGACAATTTGCATAACTAAATTGCTTTATATCTCTCTGATTTCAATTTTTTTTTTTTCACTTTTGGAAGTACTTTTTTTATGATTTACAAGAAATTATAAGCCGTCATTTCTTTATTTAATATATTTTAATTTTTTAATGAAAAACCTTTAGATGATAATTTACTGCTAAAACCTACCTATGCGCATATATGTATATTTTATTGCCCAGCAGCTAACCTCCGTGGGCGAGGGACAAGAGAGCAAATGCACCAACTTTGACAGTTGGAAATGCACTTGCTGCGTGTGTGTCGCCGCATGAAAAATCACTTCACTCAGAGTGAATCCCCGCGTCTTGCACAAATCACACAGCAGCCGCAAATAATGAGCGACGACTCTCGGCCCCTCTGCTCCTTTCTGAACGCGTACAGCAGCCTGTGTGCTAAACTCCATTAAGGCGCCAGCACGGATTTCGCTTCGCTTTGCGCCGTTTCCTTCCTTTCTGTCCGTCGAGAGCGAACCCAGCATCAGAGTTTTTGCGTCAGAGGATCATCACTCAGCGCGGCCATAAATAAAACACAAATCCGCGTGCGACCACCCCGCAGGGAAAATCAAAATTTGATATCGCGATTGAGTGACGGATACAAATATTTGGCCAGAATTGGAATTCTGAGAGCGAAGACTGACAGGCCCGGACTGGAATAGCATTGCCTGCTGCTATTTTGACGTGCAGCCCTTAACAGATTTCTCGACGCGGACGGATATTAAAAATCTCGAGAAAGGGGCTCGAAATTTCTCCGTGAGCCCCTGGTGACTGCTGAACGCGTTGAGATTTTGCAGAAATAGAGAAATCAGTTTTCTGCCAGCAGTCCGGACTTGGCAGCAGAGGAAATAATGTGTTTTATTCTCGCGAGAGAGATTTATGATTGACGGCCTCAGTGCAGCCACTGTGCAAAGTTACATTTATTTTTTTATTTAACAATAAAATTTTTTAAGTAATAACAATATGCTAAGAAAAAGTTCATAATTATTTTATATTTTACAAAAAAATTAATAAAATAAGATTTCCTGAAATTTAAAAATTTTATTTTCTTTAATTTACTGGATAATTGGTGACATTTTATTTTTAAAAAATTTGATTTAATTTTATAACAACAATAAACTTTAGTCAGTTTAGTCTTTTTAATCTTTCATATGCGCAATTGAAGAATATCATCTCTAATTATTAGAAAATAATGGTAGTTGTCGCATGTCTTTGGTGATGATTCATATAAGTTATAAATAAATTAATACAAAATAAATTAATAATAATATTGGAAAATGTTTGGCCAAAATGATCAAGCTTAAATATGACCATTTTAAATTAACAATGTGTATTTTGCATGTTAAGGAAATTATAAATTAATTTTAATTTTTAAAAAGCTTCTTGATGAATTCTAAAGTTTTATTTAGATTCTTATTTTAAATTTCCCAGCAGTTCTTTAAGTGCCTCGTTTTGATGCTGCATTGAATGGCCAAGATCAACTGCGTTTTAATGCCACAAAAGCTTGGCCGACTGTACGGTTAGGTGTATTTTATTGAACGTTTTTTATTCGAGCAGAGTTTGTGTTGATGCGTTCGTTCTCTTTTAGGTTTCATTAAAGTGTATTTATTCTCTTCAGGGCTTTGTGTTCGAGCTGTGTGCCGTTGGATGGAAGAAAGAAAAGACGGGCGTGGAGAGAGAGAGAGCAAGAAAAGCGGCGCGCAGAAAAGTAATCTTCCTCCTCTTCTTTGGATGCGCGCGAGATGAGGTTTTTTGCGCTTTCTCCGTCTCTTCAATGTTGCACGGGATATAATCTATCATTTCTTTTTTCCCGGCCGTGTGCGGCTGCCGCTGATATTCTTCTCTCTTCTTCTTCTGCTACTTCCAAACTTCAATCATCCTCGTGTAATTACCCCTTAAATCCATTTGGTGCGCCCGCAAAACTTTTTGCCACCGCTTTTTCCATTCGCGCATCAGCCGCTCTTTCCCGCACCGAAAAATGCACTCCTGTGTGCTTCATCACACCGTGGGGCCTTTCCTTGTTATTTACCATCGCAAACAAGCGGGATATAATTTAATAATATTGCCTCCTTGTTAGAGCAGGTTGAATGGCCATTCCACTTTATATTGGCCAATATCGGCAGAGATGTTTTGTTACACTTTATTATTACTATCATGGTGTGGCTGTGCCATTATATAGAATTTGCTTTGTGAAGCTGCATGTCCTTATAAGTGCGATCAGAGCAAATTGAATAACGAGAGTAAATTGATGTTGTATTATCACATTCAATTAATCATACGATTTATTTTCATGAATTTTGAGATTAAAAAAATTTTATCTCTTGCGCGGTTACAAAAAAAAAGCTTATTTCAAAGATAATATTGTTTTTTTCTTTTTAATATGTGTTCTCCGTTCTCCTATAGATAGACGCGCATAATAGTCATGACATTATATGTTGGAAAGAATTTTGAAATAAATTTAAAGCCCTCCTTCCTAAAGAAAACAAATAATTAGAAAATATAATTGAGTGGTGCCTCTGATTTGAAGGGTCTAATTTTAAAAATAACAATATTATAGCGTATTAAATTGAAAGACTGTGTATACAGAGCTTTAAGGTTATGCAAAACTCTTCATACCAACAAGGCAACAAATAGGCATTTTGGTATAAATTTCAATGGAACAATAATAATGAAATAATCTATGTAAAAAGCGCAAGAGCTTACTTCGAATGTAAGTTAAATTTTTATAATACTTTTTATTGGCGGTCTCCTAATTTTTAAATTTTTGTCTATTTTTCAGCTTCTCCCAAAATATAGCCTAACAGAGATTAAAATTATACAAACTCTTATGATGATGGTTTTTGTGAATAGGGGTGAAGTGTAAATTTGCGAGCCCTCGGCGCAAAAGAACAACTCCGAGAAAAAAAGGGTGCATTGCTTCTTCACCACGCGTGTCTGCAAAAATAAAATGTTCGTTAATGGACAACATGTTTGCAGCATTGTCTCTCGTTGGTCGTGTGTTAAGCTCTGCATTGTGCTGCAGATCATCCGCCGCCGAGTACAAAAATATAAAATATGGAATTAGCCTGATGAGAATTAACGAGCGGCCATCAAGAATGTGGCGCACTTTGTTTTGCAAGTCGCACCTTTGTCAGCGCAAACCATGTTTGCCCATTACCCGTGATGACTATAGAAATGAGACAAAATGTCGCGGCCATAAATTTGCATTTTTCCGTCATGTGCCGTCGATGTTTGCTGCCTCGCCAGCCAGCCACTGCCATACACACATTCATATTTTTATTTGCCAGTGTGCGGCTTAATGACCGCGCCATTTGTTGCACCCTTCGCCGAAAATTATAGCGCGCCGCGAATAAATTCACATATATATATATATATTTTATGATTAAAAAACGTGCACGCGGCCCGGCTGAAAATTTGTTTAATTCGCGCGAGGGATGATGAATTGATTTTCGTGCCGCTCACCGGACTTTTTTCACCAACTTCCGAAGCCATTTTTCATGATTCTTTGTCACCGCGGCGCGTTTGCACAAAATATCATTCGAGGCCGCCGCGAGCATTGTGAAAATTCCACCGATTTTTGCCTGTAGCTTCACATCCGTATACGAGGAAATTCCTGTTAGCTGACATACACAATTGCTGAATCATGACCAAATAAAAAAATTTTAAATGAAGGTCATCTCAGTTTTCAATGTTTTAGAATGGAAGCATAACAATTGCATACTTTAAACAGGTCTCTGAGATTAAGGATGTTAGCGAATTAATTTATTGGTCAATGTTTGAAGTCTTTTTAATTTTTATTGATTGATCAATTAAGAGTAGTGATATAGTATTTTAGAAGAAATGCCGAAAATTCGGAGAGATATATTATGTGCAGTCCAATTTCCCATTTTTCTGGTTTAAATTGTTATACATTTCAAATTTTTTTTAAAGGTTTTTTGAGCGGACAGCATTTTGGCATCGATAGAAATAAAATTAATTAATTAGTCTCCTAAATGAATTATAATTTATGGCCATATTTGCTCCGAATTTAAGGGGCTATTAGATGTACAGCCATGACCCACACCATCAGCTCGATCCCCGCCTTTGGCGCAGTTGGAAACTCCCAGCTTGCGTGAGTTCCCGCTTGCGGGAAAAATTATTTTCCACAATCAATTCTAAATTATTTATCTGATCCTCTTGGAAAAACTATTTTTTTTTTTAATCATCAAAGCCTCAAATCTCACAGGCCACAAAGATTTTTTTTTTCGAATTTAATTTTTATAATCAAACATTGTAATGTTTTCCCAAAGAATTTTTTGTTTGTTTGAAAATGTTTACAATCGTTTTTGGGGAGGACGCGCAATTACAGCAAATTGACTTGTGATTCCCCGCGGTCGGAAGAGCAATAACTGCACACAGTGGAAATTTAGTACGTGTGAAAATGTCCATTTACAGCTGCTTTACGGCGATATGATTACCATCTATTAAGTCAAAAGGCGGCCCTACAGCGGCGCGCGGTGTAGCCGAGTAGCAGCAGTTTAGAAAAAGAAGCAGGAGCAATAATCATAAATTTCCCGGCCGCTCTCCGCCACCTCTTTTTATTGAATAATAACATCAATGTATCAAACGTTGCACACACATAAATATAATGGCGCGCAGAGAGTGTGTGTAAACATAACCACTACAAACCATTTACATTGAGCAGCAACTTAAAAAGCCATAATATACAGCGGCGCAGTCATAAAAATGTCATCTCCTTAACTATTTTATTTTTTCTCCGCTTGCTTTGCCGCGAGCAAGAGAGTAGCACAAATAGCCCAACAAAGTCACTTCTTCCCCTGCGCTCCCCTGGCAGATAAAATGGCTCTCGGCTGGCAATAATAAACACACACACTCTCTTATGTTGGTTGGGCCCATTACCCGCCAGCACTAAATAACCCCATAAAAATCCCTGACCAGCCCCACGCTTTATTGCCTCGGCGCAGGCCTAGATTTTTTAATGACGACCCGCCTTTATATGCAAATTACACGCATCGCTCTTCTGCGTTATTATGACGGTGAGCGATTTAGAGGCGAATGATTGAATCGAAAATTAATTTGCTGTACTATATAACAGTCATGCGAACAGCGCGAGTTCAAAATGTTAATAAAAAAATATTAGATTTTGGAAAGATGTGAAGATGAAAACGAGAAAAAAATATTTTTAGTATGAATAGTTAAGAAAGTTTTAGTTTCATTACAAGGTATTTTTTTCTTGCTAGTTTAGTTGCAAAAGAACAACAAATAAGGTATCCACTTGATTTGTCTTGCGAGCAAAAAGTGCATTGTTATGCAACCTGCACATCATACGTACCCACAAAATTGCATAATGCATTTTACTCCAGCATTGGTTTTTTCCTTTGACGACGTCAAGCAATTTTTAATTAACATAATACTTGAACTAATAATATTTTAAAATGTTTCTATTTCAACAATTACGGAATTTAGTAAAAATTAATATCAAATATATTTCTCTTCAATTTTTCAATGTTGGAATGTATTTAGGGGCTACACATTTTCTGTCTTAATTTTTTGAAATGAGCTGATTTTGATTAGTTCTCAGTTTTTATTAAGAGCGAGTGTTTCATTTTTATCGGGTAATCATGGTGCGTGTGTATGCGCAAAGCCATTAAAAGGTGCAGATGATGCCATTACAGATTAGAATCTAACACCTTTGCTCTCTGTAATTTCGCCCGCCTCGGATCAACGGCGGCAAAACAAACATCTGCCCTGGAAGTAAGGATAATTAATGGCTGTGCATTAAGTGCGTGTAATTTTATATCCTGCGAAAGGAAGAACGGATTAGGTAAAATACTCTCCCCGGCACATTTCCAGCATTTCGTTTATTTTTACTTAATAAAGTCATTTATTGACTCATTAAGATGGCTAGATTATATTTTATTGCTCCACCAACCTCGTTTTTATTTCTCGATATATTTTTCTTCAAATAATTCAGAATTGAAATAAAACTAGTAAATTATTTTAAAAGGTTTTACTTGTATAGAATTTAAGTAAAACGTTTTATTTATAAAGTAAAGAATTCTTTTTGTTTTAATCACAAACGAGACAGTATTTAAAATTAGATTTAGGGGAGATTTATCTATTTTTTTCGGCAGTGGCCCGTGCAGGGGTGGCTCAATCAAGACAGGGGTGGCTGGAAGATGGCGCTGGCCGCGATTGATGAGGTGTCTCGCGCGGTGTGCTGCCTCCCTGCCCCCGAGGAACCCCCGCGGCCGCCCCGGAGACCGCTCCGGCTGCGGCCGGGGGCTGCGCTCGCGTTCGCCTCGGGGGTCTGTCAGGCAGGGCCATTCGTCATGTTTTTGTCAGCCCAGCAGGGTGGTGTGCGAGCAGCCAGAGCGCGACCATTTTTCTTCTATAGAGATTGTCACAAACTTCCTCTTTTTGTAATAAAAATCATTTTTGATATGCCGGCGGCCGGGGAGCTCACAGGATTTATATAAACGTGTACTGTATGCATTTCTTGCTTATAATCGAAAATGTCTGTGAATTTTGTTAAAAGAAAATGCATGTTTACAGTTATCAAAAAATAATATAATTATGCAATTATATATGTAATTCATATAATAAATTAATTATTTTAAATTTAGCAATATGAATTGATCTTTACAACTACTGTGAAGTATAGAATTAAAAGTATTTCTAGGATTTATCTGGTTGATCAAAGATTTATATTCATATCAAATATTTACAAAATTTAGTTTAAAAGGTATTTATAAGTTACACTCTAAAATTATAATATGAAAAATATGAAAATAATATAATATAATTAAATATATTTTTATTGAAAATAGCATAACACGAAAAATGATTTTATACATAAAAATAATGTTCTTATTTGTAAAAAGATTGCTAGAAATTGTTTAATGATTAATTCTTTGATTTTACTGTAGCAAAAAGCATAATTAATTGTCTTTTTGCCGCCCGCGCAATTAATTAATCATCACGCGCAGCGCAGGCAGATGACAATGATGGTGGCTGATGGAAACACGGCACAAGTTCGGCGGCGTGGCATTGTGTTGAGCCGCACAGCAGAGAGAAAGATTAATGCCCGCGCGCCGGCCGAGAAATGGCGTCAAACGCATTATATTATTATTTTGTTATTTGAGCGATGACGCATTTGTTTTGCACGCACTCGCACAAAAGACAGAGTCTGCCGCTTTCGCGTAATCAATCTCTCGCACCCCCGCGCCAACAAAGACCCTTTGTTCGCCCCTCGCGCAGGCAGGGTTTTCGTTCCTGGCGAGAGAGCGAGCGAGCGAGCGTTGAATGCAAATATTATTGCTGGCCAGGAATGCCATTCAACCCCGATACATTCCGCTCTTAGGCAAACCCGCCGACGCACCGCGGACGTGCGGGTTGCAGCCTCGAAAAGGCGAAAACGAATCTCCCGCCCTAGCTATGTTGCGGGGCCAGATTGTCAAATTTCAGATATGCCAACTATTCGCGCTGATTTATCGTGCGCTGAGAGAGACCGGAAAGTTCCGGCCAGGATTTTTTACCTGCCGGTCAAATTTCCATCGGACAATGTGCAAAGCTTGTATAAGGGTGGAGGGCAAAGAGGGTCTAAAAGGGGAATGCTCTCCATCATAGACTTGATATTTATTATTAAAATAAACTTGTTTAAATTCTAATTAAAAGAGGAATGAAGAAATGATGATTTATCATTTTATAAATCTGGCATGGAGATAAATGTCTCAACTTTTATTTTTATTTAAAGTTTCTTTTGATTTAAAAATATATTATGAAAATTGTAAAAATTAAAGAAAATTTAATAATTAAAAAAAAAAATCTTTATAACATCTCTTTAAAGCAATTTAAAAGGGAATCTCACAAGAATTGGCCGATTATAGATTTTATTTTACTTACATCTTTAGATGAAGTTCACAAGATGTCTTGATATTTAATTTAACACAAACTTAGTCACTTTCATTTATAATTGAACATTAACAAATATTTTTTTCCATTGAATTGTAAAATTACATTATATAAATAAAATTAAAAATTCAAATCGTGAGCTCCTACAAAGTTAGGAAATCTGTTTTGGCACCAGACAGTCGATTCCCTCTCGTGAAGAGCGTGCCTGTGTCATTGACCCATCTGGCAGCAATCAATAAAATTATAAATTGCGATCGCGACGGGCATTGACGAGTGGGAGGAGGCCGTCGGAGAATTCATTCCTCTCTTAACAAACACATTATATAAAAAGTGGAGGAGGACGGGATATAAAAAGTACATAAATAAATATGGCGGGCCGATGACGTCGGTGTATATACATAATTTATGCAGATGGTACATAATACACAGTATATAGGTTCAGAGTTTGTATTTAATCAAAAGTGTGTGTGTTTGTTGATGCTTGGTGGGCTCCTCTCTAGCTCTGGCGCTGCTGCATTCTTGTTGTTGGCAGATGCCTTGCATTCCCTGGCTTGATTAATTGCCTCCAACGGCCCCTGCTATCTGAAATTCAGGCTATGTGCATTCAACACGCAGCAGATTCATACCCAGCTCGTGTCGCACCGACGTTCTATCTCTCTCTCACGTGATATTTTATACCCGTGCCTACATACAAATTCGCCCTAGCGGCGAACATTTCAGCCCTGCCCTGATTCTATGAAGATTTTATTCTGCTCCCAACGTCGCACGCACAAAATCACTGCTGCTATTCAGAGTTCAGAGATGAAATATAACACACTAATTAAATTAAACGCAAGCAAATATGGAGAGAAAAAAATGAAGAAAATAAAAATATTCTCCACTCAATTTAATATTTTGATAAGAAAAGGATAAAAAAAGAACATAGCTATTTTTTGAACAATTCAACATGAAATTAAAATTAGAAAAAATATTTATAACTTTTGAAAGTCTTATTTAAATAATAAGCCTCCAAGGACAAAGCTTTTTAGCAATATTAAGGAAATTAATGATTAACAAAAATTGAAATACCGTAAGTTATTAAATTCTAAGTTTAGTGCAAAATATTGTACCTTTATTTTAAATATTATATATTTCATTAGCGTTAATGATCAATTTTCACAAAAAAAAATATTATTGATTAAACAAAGTCTTTATATCATTTCTTGAGTTTAAGATTTGATATAAAACCTAGATGATCATAATAGTGGAGGAAGTAATGAAAATATATTTTAAAAAGAAAGTTGAGCATTTATTTTGTTGATCACAGAAAAATTTTCTGTAATACTCTTCTTCTTCTCAACAGCAAGGAACTACAGGTTTTCCCAGGCTTTCTCCCTAGCCCAAAGGCCCACCAATTTGCAAAATTGAATTTTGCGCTTTTTGCACTTGGCAGTCCCTTTTAATATCCATCTAATAATAATAATCTATTAATCTAGTGGAAAGTGGGTCAAAACTTTATTAATGGTGTCGATATCAATACAAAATTAATAAATTTCCCGCTTCGCCCCAAGCCCTTCTTCTCCGCAACGATCGACCTTATAATTTTCTCGAGGAGCGTCTCTCGTTGGGCTCTCTCGCTATGTGTGTATAGAACGCATAGTGCTTGCATATACAGTGTTCTTTTGTTGAGGAATTTATCTTTTTGACCCCCCTGTGTGCCCCGTGTTACATCTTCCTGCATGTCTCGGCTTAAGATTCTGTTAATAACAAGCCCCAGTAAATCATGAGATGACGTAAAGAGAGAAGAAGAGCCTGGCCATATTATGAGCAGCAGCCGCCGTCGCGCCGCTCTTGTGCAGAAGATGAGAGAGTGGAGCCGCGCGCGTCTTCTTTTCCCGCTTTAGACAACGCGCCGGCCGCATTAACACAGGGCTTATTATTAAAACACGCGCTCGCCATTACGAAAATGAATTTGATACACTTTCGGCGGCGGCGCTGCCGAGCAGGAGAGAAATCTTGGAGGCAGGACGCATCCAAAATCCAAATCGTCTAAAAAAAAAGGAATGAGAGTTACCATGAACAAACGCACAGATATATGGATTTTGACCTTAATAAATCAAAATAACACCAATATAATCATTTTTGTCAAGGAAAGCATAATATTAGAAAATTATGTTGCAATTTTATATTTTTAAGACGCTTTTCATTTAATATACATTTTGTAGCATGGTTAAATTCATTTAGTTTAAATTTTTAATTTTGTAAATGTAAATTTAATAAGCATATTTATACTATTTACTAATTTGATTAATATTCAAACTTCTTTTTATTATTGTTGTATTATTTTGTTCAACTTGTTACATTTCTGCATCTTTAAAAAAAAAATTTATAAAAAATTTATAGCAATTCGAAATCGGCTTAATAGTAAGTGGTATGTAAACCACTTTTTGGTCATTAACACAGTCGCCAGTTTCCCCAAGATAGAGCATAACTATTATTATTGCCCTTAGAGCAGAGAGAGACTATTAAAGGAGGTCTTGACAAGTATATTGCCAAAAAATGACGTCACCGGCAAGTGCGGTTGTTGGCGGTGTTTCAGTGGGAACGCAAAGGTGTCCTCGAAGCTTTCTGCCGAGTGATTTACGGGGTCTCAGCCCTAGCTGCTCGCTCGCACACACACACACACATACACCACGGCAGCCGCCATGAAAAAAGCGCAGGGGAGCTTTGAAATGATTAAAAACTCCAACCCCTGCGCTCTCTCTTTCTCCGCCGTTGCTGCGTGCAGCCTATTTATGTATGTAGAAATTTAACGCGCAGGAGCCGCGCCGAAATGTGCGGTCTATTATATTGCTCTTTGTTTATTCACGAGGTGTTCATTGTTTTTAATTCCTGCTCGCTCCTTGAAGGCGAATTTATTTATTGCGGGGCGGAAATTGCGCGCGCCAAGACGCACCCCTCGCCGGGGCAATATGCTTTTGATGCGGGGAGAACAACGGCGCCCACTGATCTCCTTCGCTTGATGAGGTTTTAAGAGGACGACGCTTTCACTCGCCCCTGGCACAGGTGGTTGAATTCTGCCATTTATTTTCCATAGTGTTAAATTAATTTTGACCAGTGCTCAATATTTGTTTAATCAGAATATTGAATATCTTCATTTCAAAGAAAGAAAAATTAGTACTATTTTCAATTTAGAGATTGGTTGAATTTATTGAAAAATCGCAAGCTCTTGTATTTTTTTTTTTTACCAACATTGGCATTATAAATTAAAAATTATATTAAAAATATCGCATGTCTTGCTTTTCCAGTTCAAAAAATTAGGAACAAATAAAAGAATTTTAAATTCTTCTCTCTATTAAAAATCATTTTAATACTCAACTTTAATTCACTTTAATTTAAATTATGAAACTTCAGTCTCTTCCAATTTTAAATTAAAATTCAAGCACCTGTGCAAAAAAAAAATTAGAAATAATCCTCTAATGAATATAGAAACTAAATTTATCATAAGTGGATAATGATTCCAACTTTGCAATTTGAACCATTAATTAAGAAAATATATAAAATTAAATTCTTTTCAGAAAAAAATGACAAATATAACCGAAACATTGTATTTTTGATAAAATTAAATCGTTACATTAATAGGGTTCCAACCATTTTTCAAAATCTTTGATGCCTTTCCGTCTTTTATCGGCTTTGGTCCATTTAAAGAATGTGTATAAACTTCAAAGGCCGTGACAAATTTAGCCGCAGAAAAGCCTTTCATTTATTTCTCCAGACCGCAGACACAATATCCTGTTCGAGAGAGACGCTGCATTCACTGTGGCTTCAAAAAATAGGTTCCCGAATTTAAAATAGATTAACAGGACACCATAGAATATTTAATTAATTTTCGGCCAAAGAAAAAATAACAACTTCTGGCAAGCTGCTGCTCGAGGAAAATATATAAAAAGAGAAAGATATTTTTTAATTTATTAAAAGCGACTCTGCCTTGGCTCGGCGAATAGGATGTTTCATTTTGTGAGTGCTCGGCGGGCTGCGTGAGTCGCTGCTGCGGATGAGAAATGGATTGAATTTCACGTGGCTGGCGCTGTCAACATTAAAAATAGCAGTACAAGTGTTTACCATGTTCAAATGAAAACGGTTTTGAAATGTGCCAGCCAAAATTGTACCCCGAAAATGAATGATGGCGGCTCCAACACTCGCCGCATAACTCACACAAATATTCACCTCTCTCGCAGGCTCAGGGGCGCTTCTTCTTATTTTGCTCTGTTTTATTTTATATTTATGTGGCGGGACAATTTTTCTTCGGGCGAGTGCCACTTCAAAGCCTCCGTCGACAAACTATCCGGACGGGAGGCGAATTTTTGAAAAAGTGCCGACGAGGCTTTGGACGGGACAACTTTGAACCAGATTAAGTTCTCTCCTTGACTTTAATTAATGACTTTATTAAATTATTACGAGAATATATTTTAAGACTTTCTCATGCATTTTTTCTGCGGCTGTATGTGTTTGAAACTTTCAGATGCGTCAATTTAATTTAGGCAATAAATTGAAAGAAAAATTTGAATGAATTGAGAATTTAACACATTAGTGCAAGAATCATAAATTATTAATTAATTTTGATAGAACCAAAAAGGGAAAAAATAGAAGTTAAAATTATATTCATATAGAAAAATGTATTTTTTCTTTTTTCCTAGCGTATTTAATTTAAATTTTTTTGCAAAGATACTATAGTGTTTTACCTGGCCTTCTGTAATATAAATATTAATTAAAATATTAATTATTAAAAGTAAATCATTTTATAGTTTAATAAAAAAAAGTACTTTAATTAATCATAATTTATCTTTGAACCCTAATCTAAAACAAAATTATTCACTCTAAGTAAATATAAAATTATTTTGATTGCTCTTTGGTGGGTAGGGCGATAAATAACCGCCAAAGTGCATTTCCAATGATTAGATTTGAATGCCGGCATCGGTTGTTCATTTGCGCATGGGGATAAATTATCCGCGCTCGATTCCTTTTCCGCAACCCCTAAGCTGCGAGCGGCCCCCACCACCCCTTATATACATTCTTGACACATTTCGCGCACTTTTCTCCAGTTGCCGCCGCTGCAAGTGCAGCAGATTAATGTTCGATAGCGTTTGATAAATGGCTTTGATTATTGACTCACTTACGCTCAGATGATTCACACTTTAAGGGATGATTCAGGCCTGCGCCGATCCAT